TCCGGTCACCAAGCTCAGTTGCATTCAACAACTTTTTTATGTGCAGTGGCAGCATTCCATCTTCAGCGTGCAATTTCTACATCACCATGTCCGGAAAGTGTAAATTTCATGACTTGTGGTTAAGAATAAAAGCTTATCATGACTGACTTGCTTGCCATGAAGGTATGGCGATATGTACATTGTGCTTGAAAGACTTTGATGTGTCAGATATGGGGGAAGCAGCTTTGAAGAGCCATGCCACCTTTGAAGATCCATGCCACCTTTGAAGATCCATGAAGAGCTACTCATTTACATGTTTGTTACTTTTCAATTGTAGGAGATGATAGAATATGCATGGTTAGTCTTTGTCATGCTAAAGCTGTCATATATGAGTCTTAGAAAATTATATTGATGGTCAGGGAGAGTCATGGAAAAGTAATGGAATTTTTTTCTAAATGCTGGTACGAACCCTGTCAATGCTTAAATTAAGGGGAGCATCTGGCCAAAATTTTATCTCAGCTATTTACAGGCACTTTGAAAGTTTGTACACATGTGTAAAATCTGAAAATCTGCAGCTTTTATTCATGTCAATTTTTTTAGAAAAAAATGAAAAAAAACTTGAAATTCTTAGAAACGGCCAAAAAAGGGGGTACTGAAGAAATCTATCTTCTCCTATGATTTTCAAGCTACAACATTGCTACGCATATCATTTGTTGCATAAAAACCATACCTATGGATTCATCAGATATTTTGTCAAAATTGAAATTTTTGTGGGTGGGGAGCATTTTTCATTAATTTGGCAGAAAAATTTCAATTTCCCCTTATTTCCACTTATCTTTTTTCAAAATATTTTCAAAACTAAAATGAAATTGAAATACATCTCTGACCAATCTCTAGATCTTTTATTTACGAATCAAATGGTAAATCTCTCATCACTGTAGCTCAAAAACTCTAGGAGGAGATAGTTTTGCAGTGACAATGAGTGTGAATGTTCAGTAGAGCATGACAAAGTCCTGCGTGCCTCAAAATAGTCATTCATAGTTGCAAGGAAGCAAGACTGGACCGTTACTGGAGCTTAATTTCCGTCTAGGATGGCACGAGCGACTGCACAAGAACCATTCCGCATGACTGAGGCTGGGTTACTAAAGTGTAGCTGTGTTCAGACTAGCTATTAAAGTGTACGTACTGCTGGCAATGTTGAATGATAAGAACTCAACCACCCCTAACCCTTTTGCGATCTGTCGCAAATGCATAAATCCAACATACATAGATGGTTTTGGTACTGTTGGATAGGTTAGAATGTCAGCTTTAGGATGAGACTAAAAACCAGAAAAGCCAGAATCCAAAATTTTTGGTCAGATCTTGCTCCCCTTAAACTTCATCATTATTCATTACAAACAAAGGGTCTGAAAATTTTTTGAAAAATCCATTAAATAAAAGAAAAATAAAAAATATCAATCAAACAAGAGACAACTAAACTATTCTATAACAAACCTGAGTTACTATACAATTGAAAGGGTTTGTCCACTTATGATTCTATTTTTTTTTTTTTTTAAGTCAGTCACTTGGCAGAGCTCTGTATCTAAGGAAAGCTTTCCATCTTGGGTAGAAAACTTTTTTTATAGTGAAATTCCATTCTTAGAATTCCACCCTGGCCCAAACTTGTTTATGAAATGTTTCAGAGTAAGAAGTTATTAACAAAAATGTTCAAAAGTGTCCCTTATTGCCTTGTTTGATAGTATACACAAAAATATCCTAATGTAATGCTTGAAGTCCTTGCAACTAGTGTTGGCAGAATATATAAAATAGCCATGAATGAGTAGAATTTACTTTATGTAATCATCCTTGGCAAATTTGGTAAAAAATTATGGTGAGCCACTTATGGGTGGCATGTGGCAAATGTATGGTTGGGATGTTGCTAATTAGTGAATTGTACCACTGTTTGAGAAACAATTCTCTAAGCACATTTAAGTGAAAATGAGAATGTTTAGTTGCTAGGTTATTTTCCTGATCCTAAGCTCTCACTATTTTTTGGATTAAAATGCTATCATCCAAGATACTTTACTAGTCCACCATTGTACTCAAGATTCATCAAAGAGGAAAGGCAAATGAAGAGCCTCTCTCAGATCACTACAGCTATGGCTAAGCATTGAAAAGTTAGCATCAAATGATCATGCAAAAATTTCTGAATTGACAAAAATATATTGAAATGCTGATAAGACTGGGCATCATCTGCTAGGGTTTTTTGTTTTTTTTTTTGCATCAATGGTTGTAGTAAGTTGGTAATCTGATTCATGCTGAACAAACTTGAAGTGGGTAGCAAATATATTTATCAATATAATGAATGAATCGATAAATTTGATGGGAACCAACCATATTTCTAGTTCTTTAAAGTTTAAAGTTTAAAATTAAAATTACTGAAATACCGTACATTATTAATTCAATCAATCTATCATGAATTGGTTTTGATGGCACAGGTCAAGTACATGGCGTTACCGTAAAATAAGTTCCATGGGCTGCCACTGGCACTGGTATTGTTTCTATGAGTGGCTAGGCAACAAAGGCAGATTGTTTGATTCCCCAACTCCAATACCTTACCAAACCAGCATCCCTGTGATGTTGAGTCTTGCCTCAGCAGGAGTCAGCAATAGAGCTTCCCCTTGCATGTTCCACCAGCTGCAAGCTGTCTGTTATTTGTTCACTGGGTGTTAAGAAGAAATTGGCAAAGGAAATTCACAAAGATTTTTGTCAAGTGTATGGAGAAGAGTGTATTGTACCCAGGTCACATCACCAGTAACAACAAAGTCAAGAAATTCCTCTGCAGTTGTTCCGTGAAAAGCAAGAAATTCTCGAGCCGCTTCAACCTGCTGCCGCTGGTGGTCTGCTGGATGGCATTTTTGGTACCCATCTTGCACAGACTTTTGAATACCAGTAGCTTAAATGTTTAATCAAAATCTTGTCAATTGTGGTTTTGCTGACCTCGGGAATTTTTTAACACAGCTCTTGAACTGTAATCCCTTGATCATCAAGCATTACTGCTTCACCTTTGGCAATTGCTTTGTCAGTAACCAATGGCTACCCTGCATGGGCATCGTCATGGATGTCAGTTTGGCCATTTCAGTCCCTGACCCATCTGCAGACCATCCTGGAGCTCATACACTCTTATCCATACACTTAAAAAAATTTGTGTGAATTTCCTCTGCTGATTTCTTCTAAGTGACCAGGAAGTAAATAACAGACTGCAACTCACAGCTGACAGAAGATGCAAGAGGAAACTCCATTACCGACTCCTGATGAGGCAGTACTAAACGTTGCAGAAATGTTGGCTTGGTAAGGGATTGGAGTTGAGGAATTGAACAACCTGCCTCTGTTGCCTAGGGGAGCATAGAAACAATCATAGCAACGGTGGCTGCCTGCAAAACTTGTTTTACATACACACTTGCTATATAAAATTTTTAGAGAAGAAATAGTTTTGCATTTTTTGAAACCATGTTATTTCTAATTACAAATTATCACTATGTTTTGTTGCAACTCTTATCATTCGGTTATGCTTCTGTGGATTCAATTGCAATTTCAGTATTATTACACAGAAAGATTACTGATCTTTTAAGGGGAGCGTCTACCCCAAAAATTACCTCGGCTATTTACAAATGGATAACTCTGAAACTTGGTACACATATGTAAAATGGAAAAAAAACTTGCATTTTGTTCTTGTGAATTTTTCGAAAAAAATAAAAGAAAACATGAAATTCTTAGAAAACGGTCAAAAAAGGGGGTACTTTTGAAATCTATCTCCTCCTAGGATTTTCAAGCTACAACATCGAGACACATATCATTCGATGCATAAAGACCATATCTATAAAACTGTGTTGGCGTTTTTTGAAATTTTTATTTTTGTGGGTGTAGGACCATTTTTCATAAATTTTTCGGAAATTTTTTGATTTTTTCAATATTTTCCCCACTTTTTACTGAATAAAATCCCAACTATAAAGAAATTAGAAAAATGCAAATGCAACTTTGTAGATATTTTATTTGCAAATCGAATGATATATGTCTCATTGTTGTAGCTTCAAAACTCTAGGAGGAGCAACAAAACTCTTTTCAGGACAGAGCAACAAAGTTATGCGCGCCTTGAAATAGTCACTCAATGTAGCATAGAGACCAAACTACAGGCTTCTGCAGCTTAATTCCACTCAAGGATGCTAGCAGCAACTTGCAGCACACCTCTCCGTACAAAACAAACAGGGTAACTGAGCCTTGATGCCAGATACACCAATATATGTAGTCTTAGCGAGTGAATTACCTCCCATCTATTTTGTGAAGGAACTCCACCCCCGCCCCTCTTTAAGGAGAAGCCGTGTACATAAAAATTCACGTTCATTGATTGCAGTAGTACTGTTGAAAAGCTCAGAATGTCAGCTTCAAAACAAGACTAAGCATGTAACTGCAGTACAACTCAAGTAGAAACTATATTTAAAATGCTCAGTGTAATCTAATTAGTGAAGGAACTCTCCCACCCGCCCCCCTTTAAAGAGCCGTCATGTAAGTAAAAATTTACATACAGAGATGGCAGTGGTACCGTTGGATAGGGCAGAATGCCAGCTTTAAAATGAGTATAAAAACCGAAAAAGTGAAAATTTTCAATTTTAGGGTAGACGCTCCTAACATGAATTGCATTTTCCACAGCTTTGATCTGCAGATATTTAAGCTTTCATCTCCTTTCCTAAGTTTGAAGTTAACCTATTCTGCTATTCTATGCAAAGGCTTTATTTAATTCTTGGTATTTTTTCTGTGACCTTATTTGGTGTTCCTATGGTTATTTCAAAAGTATTGATGGAGTTGCTCATATCAATGTGGGTTTAATCCATTGCCCATCTGCCACAAAATCTGTGCATTTTCAAGCTTTGTTTCTTATACAATGATAAGTAACTTGATGAATTAAATTTTCAGAGTGTGAGACTGGAAAGATATATAATCAATTGATAACTTAGATTTTTCTCTGCAAGTTGTTTCTTAAACAAATATCCATTTTTTTCAATACAGTGAAAGATGGCGTGTGTGACTTTGAAGCGTCCCTTGGAGTTTGATCCAATTCACAGCTCTCCAGGAGGCTCTAGCTGCTCTCCAAGACCGCACAAAAGACGGAGATGTTTGCCCATGTGCATTCCTGCCTCTCAGGTCAACTCCCCCACCACCAGCTCATTCAATGCCTCGTCTTTTGCTGCTTTGCCTTCATCCCATTCTGCAACCCGGTCTCCATTTGTTAATGCAGCTCCTGCATTACTGCAAGGTAACATTCATCTTCCATCATTAGTTAAAGCATTAATATGTATAAAGTACATGCTAAATCCTAGAATTTGATTTTGGTTCATAGGACATGATTTAGGAGAAACTATTATTCAGCTCTTTTGAGAAATTTACTTTTTAATTTTGAATTTTGTGTTAATCACTACCTAACCCAGTTGTAAATATTGAAGCTCAAATTTATTCTTCAAGATGGAATTGTCGTAAGGAAGTTACTTGTTGCACATGTTTTTCATCTTGAATGTTGAAATTGTTGATACTACATTTAGGTCAGAATTATAATTGTCTACATTTGGCTTTTTAATGCTTTTAATTTTTATGATTTACAACAATTCAGTTTTTTAACACGTTTTTCTTAGCTTAGCTTCGCGTTTGTTTGTTTGTTTGTTTATTTGTTTGTTTGTTGTTAACATTGACAACGAAAATTAGCCCACTTCTGATTCCCCGAGAGATCTGAAATTCGGCATGCAGGCTATTTTCGCCTAACAATTTCAGATACAATCATAAAAACTAGTAATTATATAGGCGCTAACGCTGCGTATCATCGATACGTACGTCCAGTCATACTTAATCAAGTCTTATTTAATCGTTTTTCTTGTGGACTAAAAAGTAGAAAATAAAATACTTAAAAAAACTTTTTAAAAAACACGTTTTTCGTGTGGACTAAAAAGTAGAAAATAAATTATGGTTCGCCCCAAAAAAACGTGGGTCGGGCTGTACGTTCACCATCAAATTTCCAAAATTTAAGTGTGGTGTGCTTTTCGCTTTAATCATGAATCTGCCCGACACACGTTTTTTTGGGGCGAACCATAATTTATTTTCTACTTTTTAGTCCACACGAAAAACGTGTTTTTTAAAAAGTTTTTTTAAGTATTTTATTTTAGTTTTTTTGCTCTACAACATTTTGATTACTTTTATTTTGTATGCAAGTTTGAAATAATCCAGATTGTTTACCAACTGGCTCATTTGCATATCAATGTATATATACATTAGATGTAAAAATATGATAAAAAAACTCTCCATTTAGCTCCCAATATACAGAAATGCCCACCTGTCCCATGGCATCTAAATTACTTACGAGTATTGGTCATATGCATGCATACTAAGTGATAATTTTTTCTCAGGTGATATTGCCCAGTATGTGCGTGAGGAGATCAGGCGACTGAAACGCCGACGTTTGCTCCCTGACAATAGACAGCGCGCAACAATTGTGCGAGCTTCAATGGATGATGAAGACTCTTCACCCTCACAATCTCCTCCCCGCACCACTTCTCCCCCTCTTAATCATTCTCTTCTAGCTACTCCAGCACTCACCACTGCTGCCTCTCCAGCCTCTAAAGATAAAGCACTCTTTACCTTCAAGCAGGTTGGCTTCATTGTTTCTGTATCAAGAACTGCAATCAAATTTTTCTCAGTATTGTTATCTGCATAATTTTATTTTCATTTGGATTAGATTGTTAATGAAAATTTGAAAGTTGAGTGTAAGTTGAAAATGATTATTCTTCTTTTTATCTATTAACTGTTCACAGGTCCAACAGCTTTGCGAGCAGCTGCTGAAGGAGAGGGAGAAGAGCATCAGAGAGCATTACGACTCGGTGCTTGCTCACGAGTTGGCTGAGCAGTACAGTAAATGTGTGCGCTTTACCACTGAACAAATTCACCAACAGCTCGCCAAACACGACCTCCCATCTTGTAAGTTACCTTTTTAAGCATTTGCTTGTGTTGCTACAGTCTAATGACAAACATTTACTATATCAATTTGTTCCTCATGACAGCAATTAATCCCATTCTGATATAGTTTCAACTAACAATTATATTCAGATAATAAGAGAACAGGAGGCCATAATTTTCATGCGTGTGCATATAATATCCACGTGACTTATCATGAAGCAAGGTTGAAAGAACTACTTGCACATCTTATCTTTTTTTTATTATTGCAATATGTACTTGTATAACCATCATCACTATGAAAATACGACAAATATATACGTATTATATACAGAGGCCCTAGTCAGGTCATTAGTACTACTCTCATTTACCAATAAAATCATTTTGATATTGTCTGGGACTCATTCGCCTCGGTATTGTCCCAGAATTCCTGATTTTTATCGCGAATCTCTTTGTCTCGAGTACAAAAAAGTTCCTAACACAGTAGTTTACTTTTTATGACCGTTTTAACGGCCGTATCAGTATAGAATAGAAGTTTTTGGCTGAAACAGTGCAATTATGGAAAATGGGCATTAATGATAACAACTTCAGTGAAATATGGCGCAGGAAAATTCTGGCAAGAGTACCTAGTTGTTTGAATGTTACCCAAACATAAGAAATTATCAATGGACAATTTTATATCAGTTGTAGACACATTTTTTAGAGAATTTCCACTGCTAAGTTGATGAAATGGGATTTGTAGCTAAATAAATTTGTAAAAACTCATAAATGGTACTTTGATTTGGGAGTGAATGATCAAGCTAAGTGCCAGAATCAAACCCATGAAAAATAGTAAGTCATTAGTTCTCGTACAAATTTTTTTCTGTGTTCAGACCATATTATGTTAGATGAGTGAGTATATATCATGAATGATATATCATGACAGTCATTAAAGTATACTTCAAAATCCAAGTTTAAGCCTCAAGAAGACACCTTTCTTGGAATCACTTGATAGCGTTTACGATGTTAACTGGTCCCAATAGTAGAAATAACCAAGTGTACAGTGTTTGATTTCACAATTCATTTTTGCTTTCAATTCATCTTTCCTCTACCTCGCTATAATAATGATTTCATTCGTCTCAGATATGTCGTAAGACGTGGAACGCCGGTATGGGGGACAACCTCCATTCCTCTAGTGCCAGCAGCCGCAGTGGTCTAGTCTGACGATCTGGCAGTGCTTCTCTTCGCCAGCAGTTAACTTAACTAAGATGATACTTAATCTCCGGTTCCCTCTCTCTACGCAATCTCGAGCAGATGCTAAATCTTAATTTCCACGTATCAGCGTAATCTCGAGCAGATGCTAAGTCGCCGTTTCCCTGTCAATATAATCTCGAGCAGATGCTAAATCAACGTTTCCCTGTCAATATAATCTCGAGCAGATGCTAAGTCAACGTTTCCCTGTCAATATAATCTCGAGCAGATGCTAAATCAACGTTTTTCTGTCAATATAATCTCGAGCAGATGCTTAATCGCCGTTTCTCAATTAATATAATCTCGAGCATATAAGTCTCCGTTTCCGTCATAGTATCATAACTTGGCTATGCTCTCGATTAACTTGTAATCCTCCAAGTGGATCCCATTCACATATGATGTTTGGTTCATGGAAGTATGTCCATTTATTATTCTTTTTCATATCGAGGCCATATCACATTCAACGATTTGATGCCAGGTTATACTTGTTCATGTTTCCAGTTTATTTAGAACCAAGTGTACCCTCAAAAGTTGAGCCACTTTTTTTTTACCCTTTTCTGACTTGCTGCTTAACAAGCTGACACCCGCGTGAGACAGGGTCAACCTTTTTTCATAGTTTGCTCTCTAATTTTCTCTCAGATTCCGCTCTATTTAGAATGTTTACGAGAGTAGACATGTACCCCAGCTTTGGATATGCCGTGATGTAGTAAATGTTGGTGCCAATCTTTTATAATTGGGCGTAACTGCCAATGTTATGATGACCATTACTCGCCCTCATTCTGTGATCCCAAGGCAGTACTCAGGATGCGACTTGTGATCAGTGAATGGCGATTTCGCCTCGCCTTAAAATGTGTGCTATTCTTCCATGAAGAATTTTGCTTAGTACACGTGTACGGTAGTATCGTTTATAGGTATAATTTATTGTTCATTTTATATTTTTAGTTGAGTGTTACAGACGTATTTGGTCTTAAGGTCAATTGGTTGGCAGACGGAGAGGTAAAAATTTAAGAAAGCAGCCGACCATTTCTCAGCTTTTCTATGACTTGTTTCAATTCGAAGCCATGTTTTCCTCATCTGCAAAAATTTTTCCGTTACCAAGTAGACTTGATAATCTTTTATGTTAGCTAGACCATGTAATGAACTACTGAATCGTTGCTCAGTCTTTATAATTAGGAAGAAGTCAACTTTCTCCGATAATAACGTTTATAAAGAAAGTGCAGCTCCCTACTTGCCTTTTTCGGAATATTGCGTAGGGCATCTGCAGCGTCGATTAATAATTACGCCCGTGTGGTCCTGGATGTAAATAGTAGATTATTATTAGTGCGTGCGTTTTTAAGTATCAATGTGTTAATGCATAGGTTTCTCTTTAACTATATATTTCACTGTGGACATGAATTACGCACGTTATGCATGCCGTCTTTTACTGTAATACTCCATTAGTTCTTATGTATTATGCGTTACTCTAGCCTTTGTTATGCGGTATTTTCATTCTTGATTAATCCTTACTGCAAACTAGAATCGTAATCTAGTAACAACTATAAGTTTTGTTTCATGTGTATTTTTTTGCATACTTGTATGTGATACATGCTTGCAGATCCAGATTGGAAGAAGCAAAGTTAGGAACGTGAAACTTTGAACCAACTCAATTGTAAAGGACGTAACAATATGTATTATAAAATTCCTCTTCTGCTTCAGAAAACCGTGTCAGTTCAGTATTACTCTGGAAATACTGAATTTATTCTTTCGAATGCACAGGAAAATGGAAACTTGCTGCGACAGCCTTGAAGTGCTATTTCACATGGTGTTCTAGTGATGAACGTTTGCCAAAATGAACCCAATGTTAAAGTCAGAAATCCTTTTTTGTCAATTCTTGAATCTATTCACTAAATAATATATGGTTCTTCATCTCATAAAGGAACCTCGTGAACCGATGCTTGCACATGAGTTCGCTGTCGCCTCGTCGTTCAGCAGGGTAATAAAACTTTTTTCGCCATCCTGAGTTTTTCCGTCCCCATAACTGCACCACCGAGAGCAATTCAAATATGTCAAGATCTATAGAACTAAATTCATTTCAACCTAGTTCGTCACTTGATTTACTCTCCTCACCATTGATAGAGGTGTGGAGCTACAAAATTTACTCTGCACCTTGTTGATTATGCATTGGTCATTAGCGATTTGATAATTCACTTTCTTTTGGAGCCTTTCTCAACTTTTCCCTCTCAGAGCTATAATTTTTACTAAGCCCCGTGAAGAGTAAAGCATACATCTTTCTGGTAACATGTGTAACATTCATTTTCAGACACGTAATCGTAGTTTCCATGGCTGATGACGATTCTAGTCACCACAATTCTATCCTACAAATAGAAACTTTAAAACGCCTTTAGATACATCATCTAGTGAATATGTCCTGGCAAATCAATCCTCAATTCACCTCTAAGATAATCGCACGCGAGTATAATGTGCTGAACATGTATAATGAATGATTAAGCCATGCAATTCCACCAGGTTATGGGGATTTAATTGTAAAACTTTGATCGGCATTTTTTTCAAAGATTTTCTCTCGCAGCTTAAAATACTCAATTCTTTACTTGCTTCTGCTTATTCCAAAATGAATGAATACACTTTTCTCTAGTTGAAAGCACATAATTGACAGCAGTAAAATGAAATGAATCTACAGCACGCGTCTCAAATTTAGGTCTCCCGCAAAGCTCCATGCATCTGTGTTCAAATTGCAGTTTTGTACCGGCAATTCATGGGGACTTAGAATTTTATATTTGCAATTAAGGTCAACAAGTGGCCAAAATATTGTTCTATATATACGCCCAAGTATTCGTCGCCTCCAAATTTCACTTGATAGCTGGAACCATAATACGTTCAAAAGAACGAGTCTTCCGTACATAAACCCGTACATCAATAAATAAAAAAAGATCAAGTTACAGGAAAAGAACAAAGGTGAGTTAATAGCTACATATTCATACAACGTTCATAGACGAAAATTTGAATAACAACTCATCAAAAGAAGTGAAGATCTTCCCAAAAACTAGGCAGGTCATTGGCCGAGTATTGTGAGCTGCCGCACGCACAAGTCTTGATCCGTGGGATGTCTAACCTACTTTATATTAGTATACACAATTTTATACAACTGAGATAAGGCATAATAGAATCAAAATCTTAATATTAAGCAATTAATTATGAACACAAATTAAGGCATAGTTGGAGCAAATTTTCGTTCACTTGATACACAAGGCATGGCAAGGAAGCGAACTAGTCTTCTCTTTCACGATCCTGAGGCAGAATTACATCGCCTACAATTCGCTTTAAAAGCGATCCAGGCTTCTAAAACTCCTGTTGAGAGCCCAAAAGCCGCTGTTCTCCATGCGCGAACTTGAAGGCACTTCAAGATAAGTCTGAAGAATAAAAACCCTCAGAATTAACACAAGTCGGAATGTCATATATATATGATGCAATAACTTTCATCAAAACTAATAGACATGCCCATGTGGGAGAAAGTTTATGAACAATTTCATTGAACAAAATATGATGATGCAGTCGGTCGGTTTGAGAAGCCATTTAGTCATTTGTATAATGCTGGAAAAATTTATGAATATTATTTCGGCTGTTGATAGAAAAATTAGATTCAAATATCTATCAAATGAGAGCTAATAATGTACTCACAAGTCGGTCGGTGTTGCTGCGGGAAGGCAGGTTGTAGTTGGTCAGCTGTGAAGCGCACAAAACAATCGTACTGCTCAGCTTTTCTTTGTGACAAAACTTTCTCGTATTCTTCTCTTATGGCGCCCTCGCGTTCACGCAGCAACTGCGAACACAGGTGCACCACCTGTTCCAAAAACCAGTGAGCTGTGCTATTTTTTGAAACAAAATTATTTTTGGTTCAAGTCAACTATTTCTTCCTAGTATAATAATAAATGGAAAGACGCGTACAAAATTTCCCTTAAAAAAACACACCATGGTAGTAACATCAAAATTTCAATTCTCTCTTCCTTCCTTCCTTGCCTCCATCTCTAAACATAACTACACCATTCTTATATATATGACGGTTATCAAACCAGCCATGCATAGGTAAAGCATCACGAACTAAATTATCGATTCCTCACAAATTGACTGATGATAACTCGACTTGAATGCACTCACTTGTTTGAATGTGAAGAGTGGTTTATTTTTGATAGATGGAGGAGCCTCGGATGAGGGAGATGAAGGAAGGAGAGTTGAAGAAGAGGAACACGGCAGAGGAGGTGACGTAATTCGGGGAGGAGAATCTGACGGTGAGGAAGAGGAGTCTCTAGTGCTCTCCTCATCTGTGTTAGCCAGCGAACTGTAGGTGTGTTGCGAAACACCCTGAAGCAAACGCCGGCGCTTCAGTCTTCTGATCTCTTCTCGCACATACTGAGCAATATCACCTGAAAAATACAAATTTTAACCTCTCTGAACAATTACACCCATATTACACTGCAATGTAGGCATATTCAATATATTAATTTCTCAAGAATCACGCAAATACATAACCAAGAACAAGGACTGAATGACACAGACCTTGCAAAAGAGCAGGAGCAGCATTGGCAAAGGGAGATGGTACGGCAGTGGATGAAGAAGGCAGAGAGGCAAAAGACGAGGCATTGAATGAGCTGGTTGTGGCGGTGTTGACCTGGGAGGCAGGAATGCACATGGGCAAACATCTCCGTCTTTTGTGCGGTCTTGGAGAGCAGCTAGAGCCTCCTGGAGAGCTGTGAATTGGATCAAACTCCAAGGGACGCTTCAAAGTCACACATGCCATTTTATCCTGAAATAAAGAGAAAGTTATATTTAAAAACAGGTAAAAAACAAAGTTAAAAATATTACTTGCCTTAAAATTAACTTAAGCTCAAGAATTTACCTTGTTGATTACTTAATTGCAAGACATTTATCACCTGGCAATATAAAAAAACTTGAAAATACAATGCTAGCTCCACTGCTTGGCAATGGATTAAAATGCATCTTAACAAGTGCCTCCAGCATTTTTTTCAAACAAAAAACAAGATGGAAACAAACAAATACTGTTGAGGTGAAACCACTTGAACACGATAAATTAGGTGCTCATAAAACAGCAAAGATGGCTAAATTTTTATTTTATTTTAAATTTTATAGGCTAAATTTTAACTTACAAAGGGATAAGAACAAAGCAGCAAACCAGAGATTTTTTAAACTTAGTTCATTTTTAATTTCCTTTATCTACTAAACATTTAAATTAATTTTTTATGCATGATAATTCTAGTATCCATGATACTTACTTGTCTACTTATAGGACTTAAAAATGAACTTGAAGATGGGCAAAAAAAAAAATATTCTCCTTTGCCACTATGGCAGAGGGAAATCCAGCATATTTGAATATCAAAGCTATGGCAAAATGCGTTTCATCTCATCACTACGGTATATAGAATCCTTCCAATTAATATTAAAATATCATATTTGTTACCCAGTTTATCAAAATAGGTCAATTAAATGTGCTGTCCTTTACAATATATAACTATAATAGTTTTTTCTCAATTGTGGAAAAATTTATACACGTCACATTGAAATTTTTATATAAATATCGGCCTATGAGTGCTATGACTAATGAATGATTACAATAAATTTCAGGCTTTGATAGCTATCCATCTAACATGTTCCTGCATATCTGGATTTCATCACTAATACCTTTTTGCAGAAGGCTTTGAGTGGTTGCTGCTTTAATTTTTATAAAGGACAGAACTTTTGTTTATTGATTCCTTGTAGTCAATAATCAGCTTGTCTGTTTGTGTGAACACAATTAATCTTAAAAAAGAAGTTTACCTACAAAATTACAATTTGAATGTATGTTATTAAGAATAAAATATTGTGTTTGGTACACTGGTGTACGTTTATCAAATGAAGCAGTAAAAAATCTATGTTGGTTACACCACTACAAATACAGGCATGGATTATATCTACTTGGCGAGCTGTGACTGGATTTTTCAAGCCGTGGTTTTATGGGCTTGCCAGCCATGATCCCATTTCTTTGACTTTGAGCCATGAATTCCATATCTTGGCCGTGAAAAGCCATTTACAAGCCGCAACCTTATTATTTACAAAGTCCCATGCACGTGTTACCCAGGGTGTGTACTGGTATTTAGAAAAAAATTCCATGACTTTTCCATGACTCTCCATGACCATCAATATAATTTTCCAAGACTCTTAAACAACAGGTTTAGCATGACTGAAAGACTAACCGTGCATATTCTATTATCTCGTACAGTTGATAAATAGCAAATGGGTAAATGCATAAAGCAGGAAGACACAGAGGAACAAAAATGACACATATCTGTAAATCAAGTCCACACTGGTATTATTATGAATTCAATAGTGTCAAATCACAGCAAATATTGAGTAATGCACACAAGATTGTCCATGATAATGTCAATACAGTTCAGAACACTCTTCAACACCACTACCCTAACATTCAACTGGCAGCTATTTCATCAACTTTTTCTTTTATGTTCAGTTCAAGAGTGTCTAGCTATGTTTTCAAAGATCGCCTCATGGCATTGAACTTTGCGATAATTTTCAAATCCCCCTTTCTCTCCATTGCTTCTGCATATCCATCTGCTGCATGCTCAAGCGCCTTGAGGCCCTACTCCGTACGCCTTTTTTCCTTATTCTTTTTCAGTTCATCTAGCTCATCCAACAAATCCTTCCTCTTCTGGGTTTTCTAGGCCTTTGCATTCTGCTCTTTCTCTTCTGCCAAATAAGTATTGTAGGCTGTTTGGCACTGCCAGCTGCAAGCAGCATCTTCTTGGTGATGGTCATCTTGTCCAGGCCACCAACATGTGCAACATGATCAACCACAGCATGCAGGGCAACCACTGTTTGCTCTTTCATGATGTGCATTATGATTTCCTTGCTGAACGAAAACCCTTTCAACTGAGGCTTGGCCATGAGACAGGAGCATTAGCATCTGCACTACATTCCAGAGCTTCTTGTAGGTGCTCTTCAACAGAATGGCATGCCAAAAAGTGTCCAGTCGATCAGAAGTTGAAAATAATTGAAACTGTGTTTTAAACTGGGCATTCAGTTCACTGCTATGTTGTGATTCATCTGTAAAGTTGCGCATCTCATTGCACAACATCATCCACATCTGTGTTAGGGAATCTCTTGGCATCAACAAGCAAAGGAGACAGTTCTTCAACTGTGTCTTGTCAGATTCCTTACACTCCCTCCTGATGAAGACTTAGGGCACCAGCCATCTCAGGTTCCTACCAAGGCCATACCTGATAGGGCTCTTGTCCAGTAGATTTTGGACTACAGCCTGCATGAAGTCCTGCGCTTGTGTCATGAATAGAATAGAAGGGTCGGCACTGAAGAAATAGGCCCATGGTGTGTTGTCAATTCTTGTACTTTTCACGACTTGATTCACTAGGGATCCGGCCTTTGGAACCCAATATTTCATAGCATAAGACAATTGATTGAGATAGCTGCTGGACTTATTGCTTGGTCCGTAAGGCGCTAGGCATTTCAAGACTGAAGATATGATCCTACATAGCAAATATGATCCTGCATATATGAGAGCTTGCAGTGCACTTGCCTTCTTGCCTGCAAGCTGTTGTTTATCCCGGTCTGTGCCATGTAACCAACCTTATTGGTTGGTAAGGTAACCTAGGCATGTAATCAACCTTATTGAGGGAAATCAAAATGCCTTTTGTTCCATGACTTTCCATGACCTGAAATGAACTCCAATGACTTTCCAGGCCTGGAAAATGAGAAAAATCAAATTTCATGACTTTCCAGGTTTTCCATGACTGGTACACACCCTGGTTACCCCACATCTCTAATTTAATCCTAAAAACAGTCACTAACATTTGTCTTCACTTAAGCAGCAACTGAACAAGTGATAATGCAGTCTGATGTGACCGCAACTACGTGATTGTCAAGGAAACATTATGGGTTGACATGTCATCATGTTCTGCATGTTATTTTGGCAGGAGCACTGATGTTTATATACTGCGGACTGTGGAAGTTGAAAGTTTTATGAAACGACATGTTTATGAAATGCAAACCACAATTTTTTCAATCAAACGACAATTACTGACATTTGAGCTGCAACATTTCATACCCACTGAAATTATATAATATTAGATCCACAATATTTCAGAAAAAAATCGAATTTTCCAGCCCTGTAACACATATGGTCCAATATTTGGAGAATGTGTAAACTGTAATGTGTTAACTATCAAGCAAAATTACACAATGTTAAGAAACCTGCTTTTGCAATCCATCTAAAAAGAGCTATAATTAGTATATATATAAATGCCAAATAGATTAGCACACAAGTTGAAAATGAAGAGAAACGTTAATTGCAATTATTACATCACTTACATCTAACACCAAATTATTAATTTGTGAAACTATTTGTGCACTAACTTATGAAATTTATTACACTACAAATTAATGACATGACATAAATTGTCAAAATCCAAGAAAAAAAAGAGCATCACAAAAATCATGATATAGGGTAAATGCGGTATATTCCGACATCGCGGGTAATTCTGAGCTCTCTAGTTTTTCCTTTATATTAAGCTTTGCCTTAGTTCCACGCATTTGTTGATGATTGAAATAGTGACGTCATACCATTGCGGGCCAAACTATTGCCAAAACACTAGGTTTGGGCTGTCTGGTGGGAAAATGTTGAGATCCAAAGAGAGACTGTGCATGCCACCCAGTGACATCATCAAAAAATGTGTCAAAGTTGATAGTTGACCTTGCTCTACCAAATACAGCAATCCCTTGATTAACACGGTTTTGAATACCGCGGTTTTGATTAACGCAGAAAAAAATGTGCGACCTACCCTTAATCTACGCGGTGCCAGTTTTGATTAGCGCGACTTTTTTTCACAACGCATCATTTTCCCGCCTCTAGCCAGTTGCGACCTACCCTTAATCTACGCGGTGCCAGTTTTGATTAGCGCGACTTTTTTTTCACAACGCATCATTTTCCCGCCTCTAGCCAGAGGTGTTACGTTCATAACAAAAGTGTTACTTTTTGCTTATTAGATCTTATGTTGTTACTTTTGTTACGACTTTTGGAAAAATTCTCCAAATGTTGTTACTTTATGAATTTCAGCTAATAATTCTTTAAATAAGGTCCCGTTCCGTAGGCACTCGTGCTGACTACAGAGTCGGTTTAACCGCGCCTTGTCTCGTTCATAACTCGAATGATCGAGTTCGGCAACGTTCGCCGGTAAGTGCGCCATGCCGGTGCTCTAGCCCTTTAAGCCCTGGTGTGACGAATTCGTCACACAGAAAATAAAAGCTTCTACCGAGAGTAATTACATGTTTGGAGTCTAGTCGCGAGTGTGATGGTAGCGTCACATGTTGTGAACTCGTTCGAACGACGTTCGATGGAGTAGGCGCGTCGCTACTGCCAGTTTAACACAAAGACTGCGCGTGATCTGAAAAGTAATTCAGATTGTTTTTTCACTTTCAAAACATAATTCAGTGCGTAAAGGGCTAGCTACTCGTTAGCCTTCAACTGGTCAAGATCGCTGCCATATCTACTGCTCACTTTTATCAAACTACATAATTTTCATTTCCTTTGCTATTTTTGAGGATTCATTATAATTATTCCCATATATTTTTAAGTTTGATTAGCGCGGTTTTGCTTAACACGGTAAAACTCGGGGATTTATTAACCGCGTTAATCAAGGGATTGCTGTAGTGATAAACTGTTTGTGTAGAAAGAATATTATGGTTTGAGACTTTTAAATACGTCTGTGAATATATTAGGAATCCTTTAAGTATACTTGTATTTGCTGATTTCAAGTGGTAAATAGATTAATAGATGATCAAGTTAAGAAACGGATTTGACACATAAAAACTAATTCCAACACAACTTGAATTGGACACACACAGCTTGTTCCAACTCCAAGCTGTGTGCAAAAATTAAAATTTCCTTAATTAAAAGCATAATAGCTGTTAATTAAAAGCCTAATTAAGTAGTGTTCAATATTCAATAGTGTTCTAATTCAAAGCCGTGTCATATCCCAATACAGCTCACACAGCGATCAGAATTCGAACACAAGGATGTCAAAATTACGTATTAGTAGAGTTTGAAGCGCTGCCGGAATTCGTCTCACAATGTGCCGAATTTAGTCACACACTGCGTCGGAATGTAGGGATTTGGTAGGTTTGCATTCTAAAGGCTTTTACATAAATATGGCAACAGTTTGTGACGTTTCATTGTTGCTGGCGCATAGTGCAGCGTTTTGAGAGGCACGTAAAGCAAACAGGAATCGAGTAACGCACGCAGTTATTTTTTATAGTTTTTCATTTCTCGATGCGTCCTTAATGTGTCTGAATATACTGCGTTCACCCTAGGTAGTCAAATAAGATAAGAACTTGTCTAAATTACTAACTTACAAAGGTACATACAATGGTACAATCGTACATCACGTTATATTGACAAACCAGAGATTTTTTAGACTCAATTCATTTTTAATTTCCTCATTTACTCAAGACTTAAACCAATTTCTTATGCAAGATAATGCTGGCATCCATTATACTTTACTGGTCTACTTACTTATAGGACTCAAAAATGAACTTGAGGGAGAGTCTAAAAAACTCTCTGCTTTGCCACTATGCATCACGTTACACCGTGTAACATACCACAAGTTGTGTTACAGCCTACAGGCTAGGTACATGACCTGATGACCCAAAGCAAGGTGGAAGTCTTGGAACAACACTAAATCATAAATGTACATAGGTACCACAAGTTGTCTCTTTAAATTAATTATTCTCCCCAAAATCACAATTAGAATAGAATAGAAGTGTTATGAATTATTCAATATTCTTTATTGGTAATTCATTGTGGGGACAGTGGCAAAGCAGTTTTTTTTTCTTTTTGTCTCTTCCTCCTGTTCAATTTTGAGTCCTGTCAGTAGATCAGCAGTGTCAATGTGTCATGCCTCATCATCATGATATCATCATCATCCCCCCTTGTTTGCTTCCATGCTTCTCCTTGTACTAGTCCTCTCTCCCTCGTTTCTAAGGCTCATGTCATGGTCATGGATAACAGCAATTTCCCTACACAAAATATTAGGTACTTTAAATCTTAAGTAAAGAAGAGAATCATAAAAGAATGAATTTTAAAAAAAATTTGGTTTGCCACTATGCTGGTATGGTCAGGTGCAGACCTTTAATAGAAAATATTTCAGTTTTGGTGATCAAAAATAGCCATTATAATATGATATAACTGCCTTTCCCTCTGATTTGCTCTCAGCCTCTCAAGTCATTTAGGTACGACAATAGTCACCATGACAGAAAATCAAATAGCTAAGTGACCTTCAAATTATAACCGATAATTCAGAGCTCACGTGCAACTAATATAAAGATGGTAATTGTAAAAGTAATTCTATATGATTGAATTTCTAGAAAATGTTATGTTAGCCAGAAAATTTGATTAAAAATAGGTTATAATTCATACGCTACGTTCGTGTCAGTGGACCGAGTGGAGTACATCACGGAACACTGTCACTGGAAAATATAATTTTCAGTAATCAACCGTACCGTATAATAAAAAGAATAATATTACCTCAAGCAAACCCAAATGGTTTATCTACACACATATAATTCGAATTCAGAACGTAGACGCCCGATTCAGCTGACGCCCGAAGGTCCTTCGTTAGTTAATACTTGATCTCAACGGTCATCGGTCCTACTCGTGTCTGCGAGACAGCGAATCTACTTCTTCAGAATAACTAAACATGGCAAGTCGCTCAGATTTTAATTGATGAACTCAAACATTTATAATCGAATATGTAACGATACTTAACCATTGCAATTAGAAATTTAGTATCTAAAACAATTCGATTGTATTTCAAAGCTTAGCAAGTAAATCATAAATATTCTTCGAGTTTCCATTATTTAGTTTATCCAAAAGTAACAGTTAGGTAACACTAATAACGCCGTTGAAAGTCATTTGTTACCAGTTATTACCTCCATGATTCCAAACACAAAATTGTTTTAAATTTAAAAATAAAGTTATAATGAAGCTTCAGAAGTTGATTGAAAGCTTAGAAGACAAATTTTTAGCGCTAAAAAGCGCCAATAACAACGACTATTTGGCGACCATGTAAATTATTTCTACTTGTGATTAGGAAGGTTGTGAAACGATCCAACGGTACATTATTATTATTATTACTATCGTCGGTAGACTCGATACGAGTGACTGAATCGACATTTTACATTGCAGTTAACATTTTTAATTTTTGCGACGATTACTAAACAATTACATGAAGTTATATCCTTTAATCTTTATGTTGTAATTGTTTTAATTAAGATTCGAATTATCTGCGTCCACAAATTCTATTTTCAATGAATCGCAGCACGTTTCAACAAATTCATTACCTTAACCTATTGCCTTAACCTTAACCTTAACCTATTATTGCCTTAACCTTAACCTATTAACCTAAAACAAATTGCTGAAATGGAGGAGAGGAACAAACGTAAAACTAACCTTTTGATTTTCAGTATCGAGGAGGTTTTGAAAGACACTGTCGAGGAACGGAAAGCAGAAGACAGGGAGCGAGTGAAGCAGATACTGGGCGGCATCAACGGCCCACATCAACCAAGGGAGGTGAGAAGGTTGGGAGCACCGCCGCGGAAGGAAGAGCAGAAGCAAGGCAATCTGAATAGACCAAGGCCAGTCAGGTTGTCCTTCGGCTCGGAAGCAGAGAGGGATGACACACTGAAGGCCTTCAGACTTGCTACCAAGGATGCAGACAATGCTCTAGCCAAGAGAGTTTCAATGCGGAGGGACATGACACCCCAAGAAAGGGAAGAGGACAAAATGCTTTTTTTAGAGCTGAAGCACAGGAGGGAGCGGGCGAGAGCGGACGGGGACGATCAAGCAGTCTGGATCAGACGGAGGGGCGCGGTAGTCAATGTGGGCAAGTACCCAACCCAATCGCCAAGCCGAAATCAGGGCAACTCCTAGCAAGGGATGATCCCAATGTACATAGCTTTAAAATCAAGACAGATCCATTGCAAGACAAGGCTGAACACAATAGGCAGTGCATATATTTATACAGTAATGTGGACTCGCTCAGTAATAAGAAGTCGGAGCTGGAAGCCATGGTCGATCTGTACAAGCCTACTTTCGTCGGCTTAACTGAAGTGAAGCCTAAAAACTCTAGATTCTCCATGCAGGAATGCGAGCTCAGCCTACCGGGATATGAACTATTCCATAACCTAGAAACTGGACCAAGAGGCATCTGTGTGTATATATCAAAGGATTTCAAGCCGGTGCTGTGTGAGGATATAAGCAGAAACGTTGAAGAGGTTATTCTTGTGGAATGTAAGAGAGCAAATGGCGAGCCCTTTATCCTGGGCTTTGTGTACAGAAGTCCCAACTCAACACCGGAAAACAACAAAGAACTGAACTCTACCCTTCGTGAGGTCAGTGTACAAAAGGATAGGGATCTTCTTATACCTGGTGATTTTAATTACCCGGATATTGACTGGAAAGTGGGCAGAGCTTGCACAGNAGACTCTATGTGCTGACATTGAAGACGTTCAGAGACGGGGCACCAAGCTCCTCTCTTCGATCAGAGATTTGCCATACTCCGCCAGGCTGGAAGCGTTGCGTCTCCCCTGTCTTGAGCATAGGCGCCTGCGGGGTGACCTTATCGATACGTACAAGTACGTACATGGACTGTACAGGGTGTTAAAGCCCAAGTTCCAGTTATCAAGCAACAGGGATACTAGAGGGCACTCTCTGAAGCTCGCAAAAGGCAGATGCCGACTCAGCGTAAGGAGCAACTTCTTTTCACAGCGAGTAATTAACTCATGGAATAGTCTGCCAGAGTCAGTCGTAACAGGCAACAGCACCATCTGTAAACAGCTTCAAGAGCAGGTTTGACAGTTTCTGGAGGGACAACCCGGCCCTGTACAGCCCTTCATGCTACGAGTGATGAGGCTTCGATCATCTTGGAACAGACACTGCGACGGGCGCGGTGCTGATAAAAATTTGTTGTCGACCAATGAACAGGACCGTCAGGGACCTTAAATTGTATTGTCAAAGTCAAAGTCAAAGTCAAACTTTCTTCCCTGGCGTACTGGTGGTGTGCATGGTAAACTTCCGGCGCCCACGCAAGTCGCAACACCTTCCAGACCATGGGCAATCAATTTTGGTGTCCTTGCCGTCCGTTTGCTGCAAACATCGGCGTCCACCGTCCGTTTAGATGGTGCCTTGGAGTCTTTTGGGCAGAAAAACGGCGTCCTCGACCTATGTTGTGCCATACTCTACAGACTGGACTCTAGTCACTAGTCAGTCTTTATTTCTTTACTTAACTGGTACCTGTTTTTTGTTTATATAGTTGTATTGAAGTTGTGGTGACAAATGCACCCACCGCCACCAGCCTGATACTTTGTCAAGGAGTCGGACTGCTGTCTGGCATCTGCTGACTGGTGGGCTCAGACTGGGCTGTAATGGCACTATGGCAGGGGGTCTATTACTCTATTTGAAAAAGAAAACAATTATTCTTCTCGTTACTTCATACTTCTTATAGGAGCACTGGAAACTGGTTCATTTAGTCCCTTGACAGTATATGACTTTTTATGCCCTGGGGTTGTTGCTGACAACCAGCAAGGCGTGGTAAAGGCCAAAAAGAACAGTAAAAATTCTATAGAAAACAATTATCCAATCACTTTTTGCTGGCGGACGGCAACGGTGAGAGCAATCCTTATCCGGAAATGCAGAAAATATATTGAAATTAAAATGAATATTGTCGTGATTATTTTTGTGAAAAGATTTTTTTTCATTTTTGTATGAAATTATACACCGTAAAGTCAAGTGCATCATTTTATGGAAGGAATTAAGCGCATCAAATCTTAATTGTATCCCAAATTTCAATTGAAAAAAAATTTCGAATTTTTTTCGAAATTTCAATTTCAATCGAAAAATCGCATGTTCGATCCCAGCTCTGTGCGCCAGTTTATAGTCAGAATCGGCAAGGAGGCCGGACGGTTAAGGGTTAAGCATAGCAGAATTTGAATCAGTGAGTTGTGAGTTCGAGACCGCAACAAGCTGTGGATGTTCTGCGATGTTAAGAATCGGCGACAGGCCTATGCCCTAATAAACACTGAAACCGCTATTATTTATTTATTATTATTAAAACTTCTCTGTCTTTACTCAAAGTGGGACTCTCTGTCTTTACTCAACTCAATATTGTCTATATATGTCATGTCTCAATTGTCATCATGAAACTCTTACTTACCGTAGTAGTAACTTTCGTTGAAAGAGTATTCATATATAAACGAACTTTATCCCCAGTCACGACAGTGTCATGTTCTCATGTAACATGTGTTATTAATGTGGTGTCGCCACTCGCCAGGACTTCAATGTCACTAACTTTGCCACAGCACTTCTATCGCCGGCCTTCAAAGGGAAACGATTCATTCAACTAAATTGAGCCATACGCTTCTAGCACGATCGAAAAAGCTACTAGTTATTAAGTGACAACCGAACCCTATTAATCGATCGTAATTTTCATTTTTACATTATTTTGGGCGACAAGCGGCAGGTCAGTGAAGTCACTAAGTGCATTGTGCAGTACGCGTAGGTAACGCCAGTACTACGTACCTGGGAGGCTGGGAGTGGGACTCAGGCTAGGCCATGGGGGTTAAGTGGCGTGGCGACCGCCAACCTTCACGCCTTTGTTTCATTGACGGTAGTAATTGCTCAATGCTCATTGATCATATTATTCAGCAGTGAAACACACATGAAACTTCTACATAGAAATGTAGAAGTGAAATAGGTATATCATTATATGTGATTTCTGATCTGTGACAACCTTTGAACTGTCATTTTATTCATTGCTCAGATATGAAACAATTTCTGAAGAATAAATCAATTATATGGGTTTTATTTAATGCACCACTAATGCCAAAATAGTTAATTTTTCAATTCTTAATAGAGAATTTACTTGGGTAGAAGATAGAGATACTGCACTCGATTTCCTGCTCCTGGAGACTGGAGTCCTGGTCCTCAGGTTCAGGAAAAACTATGCATACCTACCTATGATACTTGCTGCTAGTCTGCTACAGTGCTACCCAGTCTAGAATATTGGACTTTTTTATTGGTGATGGTGAGATATTCCAAAAATTGTAAGTAAAAACTATTGTTCTATAGAACAATTTAAAAAGAACAGGCAGCCACCACTCACGGCTCACCAGGTCCAGGAGGCAGGAATGCAGGATGTAGCCTAGCCTGTAGTATTAGGCAGCTAGGCTGTACTGCTGTAGAGGCTGTAGCTCACTCCGCATGGTGGTATTCTAAATGCTTGTGGATCTAAATGACCAACCAATTGCACAAAAATTATTCCTCTGATTTTAATGAAAAGTATACCGATAAAATTAAATTTTTTAGAAAAAACTATCATTTGTAGATAAGAGGAATACAAAATGAAAGTGAAAATGGTACTACAAATTTTTTCCTTTATTATATAAAATTGACCCATTGTTGGCACCTTTTTATTTAATTATCCTTTATAGATTTCCTACAATCCTATGAGCCAATTTTAAAGATTTTAGAACCATCAAACAGGATGATCAATAAGCCTAATAAGGGACAGTTTTGAGCATTTTTTGTTAATAACTTGTTACTATGAAACATTTATTAAACAAATTTGGGCTCATTTTAAAGATCTTTGCAAATTGCAAGTGCTATTGTATGGCATCTCTGAAGAAAT